GAAGAAAGCCAGGATGCGGGCGCTGTTGGTTTTGTTTAGTGTCGGTGTGGCAGCCCTGGCGCTGCTGGCGGCCCGGGATGTGCCCGAGGTGCGCGAGGCCATGGATGCCTTTCAGTTGCAAGTTTTGCAACCAATGGGTACGCATCCGGTCAAAGCACGGGGGCAGTGCACTTGGACTGACGCGCCGCATGTTTTGACAGGCTTGGATGTGGACCGGTTGGTGCAGCTGCTGCCCGTTCCCAAGCGGCCAGCAGTGGAGCTGTCATCGGGCGTCTTGCGCTACTTCCAGGGCCGGGGTCGGGCCGAAGTCATCCGTCTTTTGTTGGAGGATGCCGCTGTACGTGATGCCACCACACGCACGGCCATGCCACTGCCTTGGGCAAACCGATAGGTTGAGACTGAGCTATTCATTCTCCTCTCGCTTGCAGGTTCCATATACTCAAGTGCAGTATACGAAGGAGACATGGCCGGCAGCCAAGGCTGCGGGCATCAAGAATGGGAGTTTCCCCTTTGGACAGGTCAATGCCTGCCCGCTTTCACCTGAGTGGGACTCACGCTGGCAAGCTGAGGGCGGCGTGCCAAGCTCATCGATGGTCTTGCCTTTTGTCATCTGCTCTCGGCTGTCCTGGAATGGCACCGCTCTTCCTATGCTACAGGTACCGAGCTTTGCGACAAGTGACGGTCGCGAGCTGGTGCAGACCAACGGTTCGTATTGCTACACACCATGTGGCCCTGCTGTGGGGACAATCCTCCCCGGGTCCTTCACCCCCCCCCCCCCCCGCCAGCATGTGTGTGAACATGAATTTGCATGTGCAGGCTCTATCTGACCCCGAGCGTTTGGTCATGACGGCTTTCTTTCACCTAGCCATTCTTAAGCACATTGCCAACGCCAAGGGCTATGCCTGCAAGTTTGAGGAAGAGTACCAGTGCGATCTTTTGACCATGGGTGCGGGTTGGTCTTCATCAACTTGTTCAAGGCTGAACTTGGGAGGCATGGCCAAGCATGGTTGGCATTGCATCTTTGCTCATGGGATGAGGTCTGACTGGCATATTAGAGGACCTGCGTCGCCGCATCTCGCAAGTTTTGTATGACCCTTCTTTCAGCAACAGCGCGCGTGCAACTCTGCTTGAGACGGACGTTCCCACTTGGCTCGGCTACTTGGAAAAGTTGAAGCGGTTCGTCTTTTGCACGCACACACACACATACATGCGCGCGCGCACGACGTGGAGCCGCACCCCCATCTTACCATTGCTACTATTTTTGGCCCGGCTTACCCGTGTTCTTCCAACCTGATGTTGATACGATCCCTAACTTTGCAGTGAAGATGCGCCCTACTTTGTGCAAGCCACACACCCGACCTGGGCCGACTTTGTGCTCTTTGATTTGCTCGATCTGGTTGAGTCTTTGGCCACGGAGCCGGTGTACACGGGTGAGGGCGAGGACCAGGCCTCGCTCCATCCAGGCGCCGTCTTTGCCGGCTTTCCAAAGCTGCAAAACTTTTACTACCTGTTCAAGACGCGGTGAGTTTCTTTGTTCCAATGGCGTTGGGCATCGGCTATCAGGACTGCAGCTGCTTCGTTCTCACCCTGTACATGCATGTTTGCTAGGCCGCGCGTGGTAGCTTACTTGAACAGCGATCGTCGCCTCCCCTTTCGTCTCCCGTACCCGCCACAACCTGCACCAGTGCCAGCACCGGCCCCAGTCCCGGCACCTGCCTCCGAACCCGTTCCAGCGCCTGTGCCTGTGCCAGCGCCCGTGCCAGCGCCCGTGCCAGCGCCCGTTTCAGCGCCCATTCCAGCGACCACTCAGGAGCCCACCCAGGAGCCCGTCAAGCCGCCTACATCAGCTAAGCCGTAGATTCTCAGCTGGATGCTCAGATTGGGCTTGTCGAGACACGCGCTGCCTCCAAGTGGCGTATCCCCCCGCTGCTGATCCATGAGCGAGACAAAGCCATACACGAGTCAGGCTAGCTGCTGATCAGGTTGCTGCAGCCTGACCCAGGACTGCTGGGAGAATTCATGGGTGTCGTGTCTATTTCTCGATTAAGTACGGTGCAAGAAATGTGAAAGGGCTCGTCAGGAAACCGGCCTAGCCGGAGCAGCGCCCCTTGGATACGTACAACGTGGCTGTGTGACGTTGCCCATGTCATGACAGACGCAGTGGTAGTACGGAGCTGGGAATCTGATGAATGCGCGATCACCCGTTTTGTGCGGTGTGTGGGTCTTTCATGGCATGATAACATCATCATGCTCGAGATGGTTTGAGCGTGTGAATGAAGGCAGGTGCATGTGCATGCGCCGGGAATGGAATCGGGGTGTCGGTTATAGATGATGACATGATGATGGTTCGTTTCTTCGCTAGCTGCACTGAGAGCCAGGCCGTTGGACAGGACAACTCTGACGGGGTGATCGCATATCCCCGTCTCTCTCTCCGCAAGAGATGCGTTTTGCCTGAAGCGAACGGAACCGACTTGTGGAGCCTGTGGCACCAATCCTGACAAACACACAGCGCAGACGCACCCAACGAGACGCTGCGCCTCTGCGCAGCATGATGCCAAGTTGCACCAACATGCGTTTTGTTGTGATCCGCTTCCACGCCGTACGAGTCGTCCATCTGCCTGCAGTCAACAACGTGTGCACTCCTCTCTCCTGCAAGCCCACACCGTCTACCACGTGGTTTGCTAGCAGACCCACAAATCAGGACGTTTGGCAGGGGTCCCCTATGACCCACTCGTGGGCTTATGATGATGAACAAGCGTCCGCTGGCATCAGTGGATTGGGCAGTGCGCTTCAAATGGCAGCGGCTTGGCCGTGGAAGAGCTTGTTAGACAGTGCCCGGTCATGGCGTCAAAGGAACAGCGGTCCACTCGAACATCACAACAACGAGAAAAGAAAGCAAGAAAGATGGAAAGAAAGGGCAGCCAGGGGAGCCAAAGAAGTCCTACGTTCTGCGAGGTGCAGATTACAACTGACTTGCGGACTTGGCAGACCCCCCTTTGATGACGTTCAACCCATTGTTCCCTGGAAGTCAAAGGCAGGCGTGTTACATGTAATACAGTCGAATCGTATGGGAAAGGGCGCCACTCCAGAAAGCGAGAGACAGTGTGGGCGTTGTGGATTCTCGAGGCACTGCATTTGTATTTTTCTTGTTCCTTTGCCAGGTGAGCTGTCAGGCGTCAGTGACGGTCGAGTTCCTCACTTTGCCGGTGTGTGTGTTTGTGTTTGTGTTTGTGTGAGTGAGTGAGTGAGTGTGTGGTGTGTGGTTGTTGTTGTTGTTGGTTGTTTGCCATCTCGCGCTCCAACGTGTTGTGAGGATTCTGACTCATCATCCAACCTTGATTCTCTTCAATGCCGCCACGCTGGCGGAGCGGGAGGGCCATTGATATTGTCGTTTGTTGTGTTGTGGTCGTCAATAATTTGGTCTGTGACTCTCTCGACCTGTTTGTGCGCCTTGGTCAACGGCGGAGACACACACAGACACACAGACACACAGACACACAGACACAGACACAGACACGGACACACGGACACACGGACACACGGACACAGACACAAACACACAAACAGGCACAGGCACAGACACAGCGCGAGTCACAAGGCACAGGACGAAAGACAGTCGGGGGCCCCGAGCGCCGCTGCCATCCGACCAGCAATTGCGACATTCAGGTCATTCGGCATGAGCCATTCTTGCTTCATGTCATTTTTGCTACCTTCGACCCCCAACACCTTCACTTTTTTCCTCTTGCGGCCCCACCTTGGTTCTGCACGAAAGATCTATCACGGTCCCTACTTTGCATGTTTTGTCTATGAAACAACCCCATCGGATGGTTTTCATCATCGCCCCAACCCCTGCTCACACCTTTTTTCTTCCACATTTCGTAGTCATAGTATCGCCTTTTCGCACCATAAACAACCATATGACAAAAACTCGACCGAACCCCCGACAAGTGTCTTGGTCCATGTCAGTTGAAGTTTCATCAGTACAACCCCTTCGGGCTCATTCCTCACTTCCATTGCCTCACTCCTCCCCTTCCTTTCGCTCCTCTGCCCTTGAACCATGCTCACCTCACCTCATAGCGCACCTCACCCAACGTAACGTGGTGTGCGTGTTAAGGACTGGCTTGCTTTGTGGTCGCGAGATTGGGCGCCGATTTTCATGTCATTTTCTTCACTCCTCTTGAACCGCGTGGTGGTGAGCCTGCCAGGGGAAAAGAAAGGGAATGGATTGTGCCTCGCCGACTATGGCGGCGTCGCCGGCCCCAGCTCCTGTCCCAGTGTCGTGCGATGCTAGTTGACTTGTTTCTCTGGCCTTGACCGCGAATGACCTTTTGATGTGATGATGATGCGCTCGCTCATTCCTAAAACCTCCCTGGGTCAACCTGTAACAGATTGAGTGATTGATTCGATGCACACGAAGCGCGCTTGAAGACTTTTCAAGGTAAGCTTGACCATCTCGACGCGTGCAGGTGCCAACATCACATGTGGCATCCTAGCCAACCTCTCGTGCGCGTAAACCACAACAACTCCTTCCCCCCCACTCGTATCATTCGTGATATACAGTTCGAGTCAAGGATTATGTCCGCCGGGCGCTGTTTATGATCTTTTGTTGTGGGGGGGTTGCGTGCCTCTGCTTCTCTTCGCTTGAGCCCTATGCTCTTTCTCCGTCACCACCCCACACAGCACGATAGCGAGACCATCAGTTCGCACATGTTTCGTCCATTTTGATGGGTGGTCCAGCCACCCAGGATCTACTACTCATGGTTGGGCTCACTTTTTTTTTTGACCCTCGCCTTGACAAATACCGTCTTTCTTCCAGCCCAACGCTGTCAAATTGCCGCGTTTTCAAGTACTGGCCGACCCTGTGGTTGCTCCTACCTGCCAATACGGTCCAGGATGGCAGCCCGTCAAGTATGCCTTGGCGTGCTCGCCGCAACCCTGGCAATGGCGATGGCGACATCCACCTATCGTATCGGTGTCGTGCATAACAGTGAGTTGTATCCTTACGTGGCGCTTGGGAGGGTCAAGCTGCGGTCGTCCCGGCAGCGGTGGCGCATCGTCATGCACGCAACTTCCATCGCCTTACTTACCCGTTTGGTTTGATTACTCACCACCATAGGCTACCAATCAGTTGCTGAACTCGATATGAAAGCCACCTTCGAATCCCTCGGCATCAACTACACCTTTGTCGTTGGAACCATGGGCGAGCTTCGCGAGGCTGTTCGCCTCAGTGAGGTCGACTTGATTTACAGCCAACCCGATCTCCTGACATGCTTGGACACCGAGTATGACGTTCGTCTCCTGGGCACCGTCTCTCGGATTGAGCGAGGTCGGTCTATCATGGCTCCTTGTGAATGATGAATTATAACGTATATCCGTCCACGCACTATACACCATATGATCTTGCAGGATGAAAGGCGCACTTCTCATCTCAATTCCAAATTCTGTCGCCTCATCTCTAGTTGGTGAAAGCCTGAGCGTGGCTGGCGGAGTCATCTTCACTCGCTTCGATGATCACATCTCCCATGTCACAGACATTACAGATCACGTGATTGGCGCCGTTAGCCCCGATTCCCTCTTTGGCTACATGGCCCAGCGTCGAGAGTTGCTTGATCAAGGCATTCAGCTCCTGCGAGTGGCCAAAGCCGTGCGTACAATGTGCTCCAACACGCCTTTTTTTTGGACAGCGCTCAACTTTTTTCCAAGAAAGCTTGCGCTTGTTTCTTGTGGTTGCGCCAAGACTCCAAGTTCACATTTTGCATACGTCTGTCCATACGCAGCTGAGCTTCGCTCAAAGTCACTATCAAGTGGTCTACGACGTTCTTAGCGGTGTGGTTGACATTGGATTTGTGAAATCTGGTATCCTCGAGGGTGAGTTCCAGTGGTTCACGCAGCTGCCACGAGCACATTTGCACACGCGCGCGGAAGCTGACCGCGTTCCTGCCTAACACTTTGCTGCTTTTGTGCTTTTTTGAAAAACAAAACAAAAAACTCAGCCATGTCAGATCTAGGTCTTATCAAAATTGCCAACGTCAAGATCATCAATGAATTACGCGTCGAGATCCGTGAGGACGAACAGTACCCCTACCACATATCTACTGAATTGTACCCTGGTCAGCCCCCCCCCGCCCCCTTTTTTTTATAATATTGTGGTGGTTGTTGTTGGTCACTTTCAAGCATTCTTGACATTCTAACATCCGACCACTCGCATTTGGCCATGACACCAACTTGAGCAGAATGGGCTTTAGGTGCCGTCGCAAGCCTTGACACGCAGGCATGTATTTTTTTCAACTTCTTGTTCTGATGAACACAAGGTTGACACATTCTTGATATCTTATTCGTTCTTGTGTGTGTCACGTTTGAACTCGGATGCAGGATGTTCGCGATCTTGCTCTCCAGCTGTACAGTTTGAATCACACGCACTTTGAGGCACACGGTGATTCTGGGCTTGATTTTTGGGAACTGCCTCTGTCCAATCTTGAAGTTCACAACCTTTTGGTACGTTTGATGTCGCGCCACCTTTTGGGCTCTTGACACGTTTGTGGTTGCAGACACCTCTTCATGTTTTTTGAAACACTCCAACAGGAAGAGCTCTCGCTCGTGGTTGATAATTCAAGCGGTTGGAGTTGCGGTGAGCTAGCCAGTGATCTCTCTGGCTTGACTTGCCCCGATGGCTACAAAATGACCGCCAACACGACCTGCGGTGTCGAGGCCGGCTTTGTCTGTCCTGAGCGCGCCAACGTCACCTATCTTTGCGCGTGCAATCCCTGTGAGCCCATCTGCGGAAAGAATGAGGTTTTCGCCTCAGATGGCTCCTGTGACTGCCAATCGGGAACAATCAGAATAGGTTCTTCTTGTCAAAGCGTGGGTTTGGCTATTGCCCAAGTCGTTGCGCCTATCTTGGTGGCTCTGCTCATCCTCATTCTCTACTGCGCCCACCGCCAACGCCGCAAAGCCGACGGCATCTGGCAAATCAAAGCAGATGCTCTCATCTTTGACAACCCCCCTGATGTGCTTGGTGCCGGCTCTTTTGGCGTCGTTTTGGCTGCCAAGTATCGTGGCGAGCGAGTCGCCGTCAAGCGTGCCTTTGCACATAGCCGAAGCCGCGGCAAGTCCAAAGCGACTCAATCACGCTTCAAGCGCACAGCCACCTCGGGTTACTCGGAGACATTTGCTACAATGCAGGCCCGTGATCGGGCAGTCAAGGCCCGCCTTCGAGATTTTTTCGTCGATGCAGAAGCCAACGCCCACAACAGCTCTCGCGCTGTGGGTAAAGCAAGTCAAATTGGTTCCGAAAGCAACTCACGCCCACAAGTGCCATGGTACACTCGTATTTTTCACCCCACGGCGGGCACGCGCGCACGTAACCAGCTGATTCAAGAGATGCGCACCCTGAGTCGCCTGCAACATCCCAACATCACGCAAATGCGTGGTGCCGTCATGGAGTCAGGAATGGAGCCGCTGATGGTGCTGTAAGTATGAGTGTTCTTGTCTCAGACACAGCAGTTGCCAAACTTCAGATCGGGCGATCTTCCGCTGTGCAGCACTGAAAAGATCTTATCCACTTTTTCCTTGGTGTGACGTAGTGAGTACATGGAAATGGGCTCACTCTACTCGATGTTGCACAACGAGGCCATGAGCTTTGACGACGACTTCCGTTATGACGCCGTATTCGACATCATCAGTGGAATGCGCTATCTGCACAGCAGCGAGTTTACTCACGGTGACCTCAAAGCCATGGTCAGTCAAAACCGATGAAACTTTTTTTTTTCTGGCTTGTTCATTGCGCAGTTTAAGCTCTTGACAACCCGAACACGCATGAGCTTATTTTTCCTTTCAGCTTGTTACATGGCATCAGCTCACCATCGAAACTTGCCCGTGTTTTAGAACTGTCTAGTGAACGCCAAATTTCAAATCAAAGTAGCAGACTTTGGCATGGCAGCTCGTGTGAGCAGTCGGGGTCAGCGGGGCGGTACCTTGGCTTGGATGGCTCCTGGTATGCTGATTTGAGTCCAACCTCAAGTGTTTTGCATTTCTTTCTTTCAAATGCCAGCTTCTCATCATCTGATCTGGCTCTTGACAGAGGTTCTGATGGGAGGAGTCATTACACAAGCCAGCGATGTGTACAGTTTTGGTGTGACGATGTTTGAGATTTTCTCTCGGGAAGACCCGTATGATGAGGCTGGACTAGACTCGCAAACGCTTGCCCAGCACATCATTCGCCGCAAACTACGTCCTGGCATTCCAGAGAACATGCCTCCCGAGTTCTCGGTGCTCATGAACGTAGGTTTCAAATCAGCCTACGTGCAGCCTTCCAGCCCTCCTTACTGTCATGTGTACGGGCATCCAAACTTGCGATTGGTCTCATCTTTCGTCGTCCTGGTGTCTCTTGCATTGTAGGAGTGCCTTTTGGCCGACCCCGATACTCGCCCCACCTTCATTGAGCTGCTGCGTCGTACCGAGCCACTCGAGGGCAAGATGAAGGCCAGTTCGCGTAAGGGCAACCCGGCCTTCCAGGACAACGCCTTACTGGAGCAAGTCTTCCCCAAACACATTGCAGCTGCCCTGCGCGAGGGTCGGCCCATCGGTGAGGTTCTGCGTTTGCTTCTAAGCATGTCAAGTCAATCGGAAGTGAACCAAGGGTCTTATCGTTTTTATTTTTTGGGGTGTGTGTGCAGAGCCGGAGCACCATGCCGAGGTGACCATCTTCTTCTCGGACATTTGTGGCTTTACGGACATGAGCGCTACGCTGGAGCCGGTGCAGGTGTCCAACATGCTGGATCGCCTGTACACAAAGTTTGATAAGCTGTGCGACCAGCACGGGCTGTACAAGATTGAGACGATTGGGGACGCGTACATGTGCGTGGGCAACCTGTTTACGCCTCAGCCGGATCACGCGGCGCGTGTGGCGCGGTTTGCGATGGATGCGATGGAAGCCGCCAATGCGATTCCGATTCTGGAGGACGAGCCGGATGGTGCCCACATTGACATTCGTGTGGGCTTCCACAGCGGACCTGTTGTGAGCAACGTGGTGGGGACGTTGACGCCGCGATTCTGTCTGTTTGGATCGACAGTGAATTGTGCATCGCGGATGGAGAGCAACAGCGTGCGGAACTGCATTCACATGTCGCCGGAGGCGGCAGCGCTGGTGCAGAAGCAAGATGTGTCGCTGAATGTGATTCGTCGTGACCCGATGGTGACGATCAAGGGCCTGGGCAAGATGCAGACGTACTGGCTCAATAAGGAGCCCAAGGCCGACGATGTGGAAGCGTCTGCACTTGAGCCACCGCGTCGCAAGCGCCTGAGTAGCACTGCGTCCATTCGTACGGCACGCATTTCTGGCGTGTCTCACCAACATCATCTGACTGAGAGTGCGTCGAAGCGCGCCTCAATGGACGCCGACCTGATCCTTGGGTCACAGGCAAAGAATGTGCCTCAGCGGGCTCGCGTGATGTTTGACGATGTGGCGATTGATATGGTGCCCGTCAATGCGATGGAAGCGGCATCCCCTGATAAAGCCGAAGAGCGTGCTGACACCCCACAGACTTCCAACACGGATATTGACACGGCCACGGACTTGGGCGATGTACCGATGCCCGATGCCAACGGAACTACTGACGATCACGGAACGGGCAAGACGGTGGCTGACAGCGTCGTCTGATGAGCCCGCCTTCATTAGAGATAGAGAGAGAGAGAGAGAGAGAGACCTTTCCTAAGCTTCTACATCAATGATTTTACTTGTTGGTTCAAGTCGTTGTGATTGTTTCATTCATGTTAAGTGTGTGTGTGTGTGTGTGTGGTGTTTTGTGCCTTCCACCAGGCCTGATTGCCGTTTTTCAGTTGTCTCGTCTGAGTTGTGTGTTGTACGCACGTGATTACACTCTTTCGCCAGCCACGTTGTGAGATCTCTGATCACATCTGCGTGCATGTGCTTGGCAACCAAGCAATTCGAAGCTGAAGCTGCTCTGCACTGGTCGAGTGGGTGATGGCTCGTGACATCGGCGCAGGGCAGCTGCAAGCAGCACATGCCGTCAAAGGACGGAGGGGGGCAACATTATCACAATGTCATTATCGTTAAGGAATAATAGGTGCTAAACGCACTTTTCACATGATAAAATTTGACAGGTCATGTCGAGGTTTGGTGAATGTTGGGTGAACTCTGTCAGGGGAAGGCTGCAATCGTGTTGCCCCATGGGAGGGGCCCGCGTTGGGGTTCCTTGAGCCAAACTCCATGTGTGGGTCAAAGAAGCCTACAACAACAGAATCCATTGTGGGTGCGAGCCGTTGCAGGGTTTTCTTATTGTGATTTTTTTGAAACACACACTTTGTGCTGTCTGTCTCTCTGGCTCTCTGGCTCTCTGGCTCTCTGGCTCTCTGGCTCTCTGGCTCTCTGGCTCTCTTGTGTGTGTGTGTGTGTGTGTGTGCCTGCCTGTGCTGTGTGTGTGTGTGTGTGCCTGTGTGCCTGCCTGCCTGCCTGCCTGTCTGTCTGTCTGTCTGTCTGTCTGTCTGTCTGTCTGTCTGTCTGTCTGTAAACACCTCAACACACTGACAAAAATCAACAAACGCATGCACTCACGCGCCGACCGAAAGGGTTGGGTGCATGTGTTGGGGTTGGAGAGCCAAGCATTAATGAGTTGGTATAATCTGTGGGTCCGGACAAAAAGTTTGTTGTATCCCCATCAAAATCCCACAAATTCAGCCTCTTTTTGGAAGACGAACAAAATAGGCATTGGATTTGAGCGAGCTCATGGAAACACTCCCCCGACGTTAGCTGCGCAACCCTCGCAACGTGCGCCTCGCTGGGCCCTCGCCTCCCTTCCCTCTCTTTTTTTTTTTTTCAGAAGGACAAGAGGCATTTTTTTCATCTAGACCACCTCTGCCACGTCTCCTTGTTCACGCTCCCACTGCCCTTTGTGATACCGCTCTGCACGTTGGTCGCTTGCGCCGGGCACGCCTCTCGATCGTTGGCGTCCCGCAAAATGGGGTCGTGGGCGGTGGCGCTCGTCGCCATCTTCATGGTGGCGGTGGTCACGGAAGCGTCGCTTGTCATCCCCCGTGTGGGCCTGATTAAAAATGGTGCGAACCACTTGACCTGAATTCGTTGACAAGCACACCTGTGACTGTCGCCATGCCCGCCTTCTGACCCGCTTGTTCTCTAGACATGTATGACCAAGCTCTTCACGATATCAATGCCACCATGTCTCTTCTTGGCGCCACAGCCGTCTACGTCACTGGTTCAGCGCCTGAAATTCAAGAATATGCTCGACTCGGCAAGATCGATTTGGCCTTTACGCCCAGCCACATCTTTGGTTGTCTGTCGGCCGAGGTTGAAGCCGCACCCATTTGTTCCATCGTTCGCCGTTACAACTGTAAGTAACACCAACATCTTCTGCTGCAGTGGTTCCATTCCTCGTGCAATGGCCATTTTTGTCCATTCTGACTGACTTATTTGCGGACCCGCTTGCATGCAGCCGTCGATGTTTCAATGGCTGGAGGTGTCATCTTTACCAAGTATGGCAGCGACATTTCATCTCTAGACGACATCCCTGGCAAGATTATCGCAGCCGTTGGCCGCGACTCTCTTTTCGGCTATGCTGCCCAGCGTCACGAACTCCGTCGTCACGGCATTGAGATAGTCACAAGCTGCCCTCAGGTGCGAAAGCCCCCGTTAACAGAATTTAGCAACTGGACATGCTCACATTTTTTTCTTCTGGCTTCTCGTGCAGATTATATTCGCGGGAAATAATTACCGAGTGGTTTTTGATGTTTTGAACGGGGTTGCTGATGTCGGCTTCGTGCAGAGCGGCGTCATCGAAGGTAGAGGCCGTGTCGTGACTAAACGTGCTGCAAAGTCACACATTTTAACCCAAGTCTTCTTAATATTATTGTTATTGCTCCCTTCATGCCCACTCCTCAATCTTTAGCAATGACTACGCTGGGCATCATATTCGTCGCGGACGTCAAGTTTCTCAATGAATACAACCACTACAACAAGCTTGGTGTGGCGTTCCCGTTTCGTTCCTCCACGAATCTTTACAGCGGTAAGCCAGCCACCCAGCATATCGCTCGCAACGCCTGTCGACGACGGACAGTGTCTCACACCCATGGTGATTGCTGTGTCAACCCATCAACCTAGATTGGGTGCTGTCGTCCATCACGGATCTCAGCGAAGGAGTGCGTCACGCTTCAGTTAATCCCCTGAGCAACACCATGATCACAGGTGTCCTCTCAACTCATCTAATTTGATTTGTACTTTCAATAGGAAGTCCATGGACCTGTCTCAGCCGTGTTTTCTTTGAATCATACGCAATTTTCAAGCGCAGGCGCGTCTTCCATCAGCTACTGGCGCACGCCCCTTTCTACCGTCAAGGTCGTGGACATGCTGGTAAGTGACAAGCGTGTTTTGCGTGACTTTGGCTCGGACATGACTAGGTCTTTGCCCCATTGATAACTCATGCCCATTCCCCTCTTGCAGCGAGAATTGTCGTTACTGAAAAGCTCAGACGACGGTACATTGCAATGCGGCAACATGGGCGCTGAGCTGGAGCATTTTGTGTGTCCCGAAGGTTTCAAGCGCAAAGCAGACATTTCATGCGACAACACCAAGGGGTACAGCTGCCCCACGGCCGAGAACGTGAGCTACCAGTGCCTTTGCACGCCATGTGTACCTGTCTGTCAAGCCAACGAGATTTACAGCGATGGATCCTGCGACTGCGACTCGGGTTATGTCATGTCCGGTGGAGCATGTGTGCCCTTTGGTATCCTCATTGCCCAAGTTTTGGTGCCCGTGATCATTGTTGTCATTCTCCTGATTCTCTACAACAATCATCGTCAACGCCTCAAAACGGACGGCATTTGGCAAATCGACGCCAAAGATATCATCCTTGATCACCCTCCGGAGGTTTTGGGATCAGGCTCCTTTGGTGTGGTGCTGGCAGCCAAATATCGTGGCCAAGCCGTTGCAGTCAAGCGAGCATATGTCAGCAAGCACGGCAAGAACCTTAGCAAGAGCAAGTCATCAAGCAGACAAGGTCACGCAACAGCGAGCAACACTTTTCAGCTCACCATGGGCAAGAATACGATGAAGCAAAAAGAGCAGCTTGCCCGAGATCGCATGCGCGCCTTCTTCGTTGAAGCCGAGGCAGCCGTTGCCAACACGGGGGCCAACCATGCATCCAGCTCCAAATCGGGCCGCACCGTCAATGGCACCGAGGTGCCTTGGTGGGACAAGTTGTTTGGTCCATCAGCCGAGACGCGTGCGCGCCGCCAGCTCTTCCGCGAGATGCGTTTACTCAGCCGTATGCAACACGACAGCATTTGTCGAATGCTGGGCGCTGTCATTGAGTCTGGTATGGAGCCTCTTATGGTGTTGTAAGTCAAGCCTCAAGCAACCCGATGGATTTTAGCAGGCGAGCTGCATGTATTGGTTGTTCCCATCATCTCACCGTGTTATTTTGTCCTTCTCACATCTCAGAGAGTACATGGAGATGGGCTCGCTCTACAACATGCTGCACAATGAAGCCATGGAACTGGACGATGAATTTCGCTATAACGCCTTGCATGATATCACCAATGGCATGCGCTATCTGCACAACTCCGACTTGGTCCATGGTGACCTGAAGGCTTTGGTCCGTGCCAGCTCGGTTGATCCAGCACAATGTTACACGCCACTAACCCCTATGCTTGCTTGCTGCTGTAGAATTGCTTGGTAGATAGCAAGTTTCATGTCAAGGTGTCCGACTTTGGCATGGCAGGGTTTGCTTCAGAACATAGTCAGCGCGGTGGCACTCTCGCCTGGATGGCACCCGGTATGTATGATGCTCCGTACAATGCTATGCTTAAGCCTGGGAAGGAGCTTGGACCTTACACAGGGCTGCCGCTCGATGTTTCTTCAGAGCTACTTCGGGGTGATTCTTGCAGCTTTGCCAGTGATGTCTACAGCTTTGGCATTGTCATGTTTGAAATATTTTCTCGCGAGGACCCCTACGAGGATTTGAATTATGATACAGCAATGTTGGTGCAAAACATTCTTGGTCGCAAGTTGCGACCCACAGCTCCTGCCAACATGCCATCGGAACTGGCCGTTCTCATGAGTGTAAGTGGTCTGAGCAATTAGCGATCATTTTTTGAAAAGGGCAAGATCTGATCGACGTGCGTTTGCACCATTGATCAAATGAAAATAGGAAGCGCTGTCCGCTGATCCTGACACGCGACCGACGTTTGTGGAGTTGCTCCGGCGCATTGAGCCGATGGAGGGGAAGATGAAGGCCAACTCGCGCAAGGGCGGGTTCCAGGACAACGCGTTGTTGGAGCAGGTGTTTCCCAAGCACATTGCGGCGGCGCTGCGCGAGGGTCGCACAGTTGGTACGTTGGACTCGTGTGTGTTGCTGTCTGGAGGTCTGGGGCCTTGAGTTTGGACTCGTGCGTGTGTGTGTGTGTGTGTGTGTGTGTGTGTGTGTACTTGATTGTTTCGAGCTATGCACTCACACAGTGTTTGTTTCTTTGTCTTTGTCTTGTGTCGTGTTGCATAGAGCCGGAGCACCATGCCGAGGTGACCATCTTCTTCTCGGACATTTGTGGCTTTACGGACATGAGCGCTACGCTGGAGCCGGTGCAGGTGTCCAACATGCTGGATCGCCTGTACACGGTGTTTGACAAGCTGTGCGACAAGCACGGGCTGTACAAGATTGAGACGATTGGGGATGCGTACATGTGCGTGGGCAACCTGTTTACGCCCCAGCCGGATCATGCGGCGCGTGTGGCACGATTTGCGATGGATGCGCTGGCGGGAGCCAATGCGATTCCGATCCTGGAGGACAAACCGGATGGTGACCACATCAACATTCGTGTGGGCTTCCACAGCGGACCCGTTGTAAGCAATGTGGTGGGGACGCTGACGCCGCGATTCTGCCTGTTTGGATCGACAGTGAATTGTGCGTCGCGAATGGAGAGCAACAGTGTGCGGAACTGCATTCACATGTCACCGGAGGCGGCGGCGCTGGTGCAGAAGCAAGATGTGTCGCTGAATGTGATACGTCGTGATCCTGTTGTGACGATCAAGGGCCTGGGCAAGATGCAGACGTACTGGCTTGGGCACCCTCCCAAGTCTGACGATGTGGAGGCCACGGCAAAGATGCCACGCACTAAATCCCGCGTCAGTGCGCGATCTGGCCGCACCTCCCGAGGATCATTTCTGCGCGACTTTCCCCTCCTGCCCGCGCCATCGTTGAGTGGTCTTGACAACACAGACGCTTCTTCCTCTCACGTCATGTTCGATCAAGTTGCTATCGACATGGCGCTTGGTTCTTCCCCAGATGAGGCCGAGGGTGATGATGCGGACAACACTGTTCTAAATGCTGCAGCCACCAAATCGTCCTCGATCCGTGACCTTTGTGACAGTGGGCATCCCAGCGAGGGAGCCTACCTTGAGAAGCATTTGCCTCCCATCTTTGAGCCTACTCAAGATTCTTGTGTTTAATGCATATCGGTGTTGCTACTGACTCGCCGTTCATCCGCAGTCGTAGCTTTTGTACCTTGTTTGCTTTCACTGAATGTGTCTTTTTTATATCGGTTTAATTGACAACCTGAAGAACACGACTTCTCACGCGACAAATCAGAATTCAGATCTCTTCTTGAAGCGCTATGGAAACAACCTTTTGACAGCAGCCTGGCGCACGCTATGGCCAGAGCGTGAATCGCGGACAGGCCTGCATTTGTGTGGCTGCTAGTTCTGTTGAGGCTCCCGAGCGTTTTTGCTCAAAAACGATCATGCTCTAATGTGGTTGTAGCGAGTGCCATAACTGCACCACGCCCCTCGCGCCGTCGTCGCGTTTTTGCGTCTTCCACCAGCACGTGAATCTCCTCTGCCAGTGACCCCGAGGGCTCGCGCAAGCCATCTTTGGTGTCCATTTCGCCGGGTATCTCGTCGGGCTACTCCACTGAGTCGACAAGTGGAGAGCAACAATGTGCGGAGCTGCATTCACATGTCACCGGGGCGGCGGCGCTGGTGCAGAAGCAAGATGTGTCGCTGGATGTGATTCGTCGTGACCCTGTTGTGACGATCAAGGGCCTGGGCAAGATGCAGACGTACTGGCTTGGACACCCTCCCAAGTCTGACGATGTGGAGGTCACGGCAAAGATGCCAGTCAAAAACTCCCGCGTGAGCACATGGTCCGACCACACTTCGCGAGCTTCTCGCACGTCGTTTATGCAAAAAGTCAGTTTTCATCCTTCCAAGCTTGTGCTTGAAGCAGCAGCGAGGAGCGATGGCATGTCGCTTGATGCGACTCCAGTCGACGTTTCCCTTAGGCACTGACCAAGATGTGCCAAAGCCCATACGCGAGTCAATTTCATGCGCTCGACGGCGTCAGTCCTTGCCTCGCTTAATCAACCCTCTCGTATTACAATGTCATGTATGTCGATACTCGTGTGTCATTGCCGTAGTCTTTTTGATGGTTTACACGTTAGTCAGAATGTGTCAAATTCTGCATCTTGTGTATCATCAAACCTGACAATTTTCTCCTATTTTGACCCCAATAGATGTCCCCCGGAACGCGACAAATTTTAATTATGAATTTTGTATTTTGCACCAAAATGACCGTTACAGAGCCAAATGTCAGACTTTTTGAGTGCAAAATATAAAATTCAAAATATAACCCAGCAGTGAAAATACAAAATATGTTCTGTCCGCAGAAACGTATTTTGATGTTTTTCATATTTTGCAGTTCATCTAGATGTGACTTTAGCTACACTTCAAGGACTCTATTTGTGACTTAAATCACACTGTGTAGTGAGTGATTTCGAGCACACTTTGGGTCGCTAGTTCATCTGATCATAATTAAAATTCAAAATTAAAATTTGTTGAGTTTCCGGGAAGCACTTCGCTCCAGCATATTTTGCACTTCTTCAAATTCAAAATTCAAATTCAAAATTCAAAATTCGATTGGCACCTCCAAGGGACACCTATTCCACCTGAATGTGATGGTGTGTAAAAAAAAAAGGGGGTTTGGTACTGTTCGGTCATGCTGGCAATTTGTCTCGTCAGGCTCAGGCTTGTGCATGGGGTCACGTGGTGGTGCGTCATAGCGTGGGAACTTTGCCCTCGTTGCCAATCAGAGCAACCGAGGTTTATTATGAGGGTTGTGCTGTTACAAAGGGGACGTATAAAGGTCTACACGTAGCAAAATGCGAGTTTTGTGTTGTTGTGATGGACCCCAACCAAACTTGGGGAAGACGGCTTGAGGCACCTGCCACACACTTAAAACAGCCGTGCTCTTTTTCCTGGGCCTGATGAATAAACAGGCCAAGCCAGAGCATGTCATGGATCATGACAAGTAAGACGGGATTCGAGACGCTTGGGTTGGTTGACCCCCATCAAGCCCCATGCCAATTCTGCTCCTGCTTCTTCCTGATGGAGCGCCTTGTTGTATGAAATATTGAATCTTATGCTGAATTGTTAACCATGATTGAGGTAGTTATCGTCGAGAAAAGTGCGATTGGAACGGTGGTATGTTTGTTGGGGTGCGAAGCTTGTGTTGGGTGGTTGCACCTTCGCAGCCCAGCCACGACGACGCGTCTGCTTGGGGCTCCCCACACTGACACTGCACGAGGGGTCGGGGCCGCTGGTTTCTCGTCCGCCATGTTCAGCAGGTCGTCAAGCACGAGAGGAAAGTGAGAGGCTTGGCAACGGTCGCCATTTTTTTTTCTCCTTCCGAGACCGAGACCGAGACCATTTTTCTACTGCTGGCGCACACACGCTGCCATATTTTCGGAGAGCACACCCAAGTTCTTTTTTGAAAGGTGGCTTGTGCCCTTGTGCCATCTCGAGGCGATCGGGTTTAGCATGGGTCGAACTGTGGCCAAGGGGCTGTTGGCCCTGCTCTTGGTGGTGGCGGCAGCCATGGCTCAAAATGCAACCATGCCCACCCTTGAGCCCACCACCCCGAGCACGGACATGAGCCTGGCCACAAGTGAGAGTAACGTCACTACTGCCGCTGCACCATACTACCTCATCTACTATCGCGTTGGTCTCGTTGATAGCTGTAAGTCGCGCGCAACGCTCTGCAACTCCAGCTTGCGTGTCCCTCCCTCTATTGTCTCACTGCCTTGGGCTGTACCAATTTTCCCCAGACGAGTTGGAACAGGCCAAGCAAGAGCTTTTCATGACATTTCACATGCTGCGACTTGGTGTTATTTTCAAAATTGGTTCTTCGGATGAAATCATGGAGTTGTCTCGTGTGGGCAAAGTCGAAGTGGTCTACTCGTCGAGCGAATTCTACAGCTGCCTCTCTGCCCAGTTGAACATCCCACCCGTTGCCAGCGTGGTTCGCCGTCAAAATGGTGAGCGCGAACCGTCGCAACGAGTCCCTCACCTGCTTGCCAGCATTCTGCTCATTTTGAATAATAACGACATAGGTGTTGACACGCCTTACGCAAGTGGTGTCATGTTCACGTCTTCAAAGCATGAGAACATGGAATTGGCTGACATGAAGGGCACTACTCTCGCTGCCGTGAGCCGGGATTCTTTCCTCGGATTTCAAGCT